AAGACTCTCTCATTTTATTCTTTTCTTCTTATTTCCTCTGATTCTGCAGTTGGCAAAGCATTAACCATGGTAAAACATCATGTACTCTTGGCATGTCTAAACTCAGCACTCTGAAAGATTATCCCGGAGGTCTTTTTTGGTATGTACTACGGCTTTTGGACAGGGTTATAAAGAAAAGATATCATAAAGGCTCAAAATAACAAAGACAAACGGGGTTAATTTATTTACAACTTTTGGAATCCATTCTAACAATTTTGCCCAATTTCTACAACAAGGAAATTTGATTCTTTTTTTTTTCTTTTTTTTTGATGGAGTTACTAAGAAAGAATGCCATTATGAAATATTTTATTTGGTATGACCGAATCGTAAGACTGCCTACGTATCTTATGGTGACAAGAATCAGGTCAAACGTAGTTCACAAAGATACGTTTTGTTTGTTGCTATTTTTCTTTTTTCTTTTCTTTTCTTTTTTTTCTTTCTTTTTTCTTTTCTTTTTCTTTTCCCTTTTTTATCTTTATTTTCCTCCTCTTCTTTTTTTTTTTGAATTTTCCTTTTGGAATGAACCTTTTAAAATAAACCTATGGGGACAAAAAAAATTCTTTCTTTTTTTTCTTTTTTATTGTATGCCTCTAACTTGATTCCAAAAGAGGGGAGGTCAAAGAAATCAGTACAGGCTCAAAAAGGGATCGAATGGTATAAGTGTTTGGGTAGCTAAAAGAGGGTCTCTCAATCCCTGGAAATGTCAAGTATAACATATACAACTTGAAATGAAAAAGGAAGAGCACACACAACATTTCTTTTACAACTTCGGCATTGATATCACTGATATGCTTTCCACTTCTTTTTTTAGTGCCTTGTCAAGTACACAACTCTCATTGGGTGATTTTTTCTTCACAATGGATACCCTCTGTCTTTTCGGAATAAACTCTCTTAACTTTATCTTGTAAATTGAGGTTCACTTGAACTCAAAACTGCTCGCTTCAAATTGTTTGGGATGCACTCTCCTTTAACGAATTCTTAACATCCTAGTAACGTCCCAAATTATCTGCCCCAGTTTCACACAGTTCATGCTTCAAATGATCCTAAAATGTCCAAATCTGTACTTATTGCCCTCAAGTATCCCTATCATCTTCAAAATTGTTTCATTGCTCTATGATTAAACTAACTTTTGAGACCAGGCCTAGAATTATGCATGCATGTCATGTCACTAGAGCCAACATGAAAAGAAATATAAAAAGAGAAGAGAACTAAACAAAAAATGACTGGAAATAATAGAAAACAGAAAATTGCATTAGACAGACGGTGAAACGGTTCGAACAACAAAACAAGCAAACTAAACTGGGGTTACAACCTTGGAACAAACCTAGACAACACTAAACGAGTTACTACGACTAAACAAACTAGGCAAAATAAAAGGATAGAAGGGTTTGAGTCACAAGACAATATCCGGATTACAACCCTGAAATAACCTAGACAATAGAAATGACAACAAAACGAACCACCAAGACTCCTCTCTGGCTAGCCAATAAAGGAGCATCTTTCCAATTACCTAGCTCGACATCCTAGCCACTAGGTTCCGTATCAACATTACTAGAACCTTCACAAGTCTTCATCGCATTGTCCTTAGCAAATTGATTTTGAATCCCTTTGGTTGGCTCGTTCTTAGGATCAACTTCCGGAACCAAGAGTGATAGCGCTGAAAGCTTTGTGGCTAGTGGCCCTCCGAAGATCTCAGAAGAGTTCTCATATTCCTTTTCCACACAAATCATGTCCACCATATGCATCTCATTAGGAATAGGCAATGGACTTTGGCTAGTATCTGTTGCATTTGGATTTTGCACGGTAATGTCACCTTCATCAATAAGCTTCTAGAATGCTCCTTTCAGATGCCAACACTTTTCTATGTCATGCCCCGAGGCATTAGATCAATATGCGCACCTTTGAGAAAAATCAAAATTCTTTGGAAGAGGGTTTGGCATTTTTAACTGAATCGGCTTCAACATGTCCAATTGCCTCAACCTTTGGAACAAACTGGCATATGATTCTCCAATGGGAGTGAAAGTCTTTTCCTTTTGCTTTTGCCTTTTCATCTTGTACTCTGGCCTCGGTTGGAACCTTTTGCGGGTAGGTGGTTGATATGCTCGAGGGGGCGGGTAAGACATTTGTGGAAGTGGTGTAGGCCATCGCGGGTCTCGTGTGTGTGAAGCATATGGTGGTGCATTGTGGACGGAGTAATGGGAAGGTGATGTACGACTTTGGGGGTTTTGTGGAGAGAAGTATCATTGGGGAGGATCATCTGGAGCACAGGGATATCCATGGGGTCGATATCGAGGCTGAAAGCGTTGAGCAGGAATGTCTACTGGATCCTGTCGTTGGCGCGGGTCAACAACATCTTTTTTCTATTTCTCTTTCTTCCATCCAAACTTACTGAGATGTTCTGAATGTCTTTTGTAGTGTCTTTCAATGTAGAATAACTCATGATTTTGCCTGATTTGATTCCCTCTTCTAGCATCTCCCCCATTTTTACTACATCATTGAAAGGTTTACCCAAGGCTGAGATCAAATGACTGAAGTAGGTGGGCCCCTGGGCTTGGAAAATGCTCAACCATTTCTTCTTTACCAATCAGGGGACTGACCCGGGCAGCTTATTCCCTCCATCTGAGCCCAAACTCCTTAAAGCTTTCCTCCGGGTTCTTTTCCATATTAGAGAGGGAGGAGCGGTCTGGGGTAACGTCTATATTGTATCGGACAAAATCTCGAGCCATGTCATCTCATGCCTGCCACTTATTGGTATCTTGATGAGTATACCATTGCAAGGCTGCCCTAGTCAAGCTCTCACTGAAATATGCCATCAACAAATTATCTTTCCTGCCAACACTTATCATTTCACTACATTAACCTCTTAGATGGGTATTGGATCTCCACGTCCATCATATAAATTAAGCTTTGGCGTTTTAGACCCTTTCAGCTTTCTGGATAACTCATCTCTCCATTCTTTTCCTGTGAACGTTTCATTTTCAACATGAGGCTTATTCCGAAAGCTCTGATTATATGAGTCAGGAACTTTGTGGGCAACCTCTGAGGGGTAATATTGGGCATCATGGGCTTTGAGTGGATGTTTATTATCGGATCTATGAAGAGAAGATTGTTGAGAAGTTGTGATCATGGGGATAGTGGATATGACAGGAGGGCAATTTTAGGGAGAGGTAATTGGAGGATGAGTGATGAAGCTACTAGGGTGGTTGGGAAAGCTGTAATAAGCGGGTGGATCTAGAGAGTATGAGGGATCATCTCGCACTATGGCTGGAGTTTGGGTAAGGGTAACATCTAAGAAGCTAGGTGGTAGCGGGGGTGGTGCCTTCCCAGTCATCCAAGCCTGATACATTTCCGCAATGTGTTGTCTTAACATCCTTACCTCTTCAACCAACCCATTGCCCTGTTCAAAAAATTGCTTTTTCGCACCAGTACCAACCAACTCAATTCCGTTGCCGTCTGCCATTGCCTTTCGACTTTATGTTGTAGAGAAGAGTTACCACTTTAAGAACCACAAACCAACCACCCTTCTGCTTTATAACAAAAGGAACAAAATGAGGGCATCACGTTAGCGTTAGGGCATTTAACAACTAAAAATATTACATTGCATGCAATGCACCTAGTCACAGTTATCGGCTCTAACATGACTTCGAGGGTGTGAAGGTCATATGATATCATCCCAATTCATTCATTTCAATCTTCTCTTTTCTTTCTTTTCTAGTACTTGCTTGCTCATTTTCCTTTCTTTTTTTTTTGCTAATTATCACTCTTTTCTTTCCTCTCATTTCTCACATCCCATAGTTTCACCTCTTTTTCCCCTTTTTTTTCCTTTAATAAAATAAAAAAAATGATTCGATCGAACCCTATGTAGGTTGCCTACGTATCATGACGCCACATGAATCAGATCTTTACGTAGTTCAGGAAAATTGAGAATAGACTAAATAAACTAACGTTCTCTTTTTTTTTTTTACCTTAATGACTAATCCGATGAGAAAAGAGAAATAAAAGAAGCAAAACCTTTTTGTTGAATTTTCTAGACTTAATGTTCTATATCCTATTCTAAACTCAATCTTAAACGAGCAGGAAAGATTTCGAACCAAGAAATAAAAAAGATAACAAAATGTTTTTGGTCAATCTCTTTGTTCTTTCATATTCATATGTCAAAATCTATTAAATTCTTATACCTTTTTTCGAATTTAAAATGGCAGTTTAATAATTTTAAAATTAAATAGAACAACATATCATTATTTATGTTTTAGATTGATTTTATGCTTAATTATTAAGTTCGGTTAACCTTGAAAGCGTACATCAATGAAAAATTATTGTTAGACGACTAAAAAAATAACTATCATATGTTACAAAAAAAATTCTCTCATAAGAATATTTTTACTAAATCATATATTTGTTAGTTTTTAATTTTTACTAAACATATATTCACTTATCAAAACTTTATCTATAATTTTAACGAAGTAATATTAAAATAATATTTATTTAACAAAAAAACCCGAAAAATCCAAAAAAAACCCAGCAAACCGAACCAATCCAAATTATAGCCCGTTTGGCCAAGCTGCAAAAATAAGCTTATTTTGAGAAGTGTTTTTTTTTTCAAAAGTACTTTTCTCAAAAGTACTTTTGGTGAGAAACAATTTGTGTTTGACTAATTAGTTTGAAAAGCATTTCTGAGCAGCAATTAGTGTTTGACCAAACTTTAAAAAACTGCTTCTAGGTGTAATTTTTCTCAAAAGTGCTTCTCAAAAAGTGCTTTTGGAGAGAATCTACTTTTTTCTGCTTCTCCAAAACTGCTTCTGCTTCTCCTCAAAAGCAATTTTTTACCTTCCAAAAGCTTGGCCAAAAGTGTTTTTGGCAAAAAAAAAATAATACTTTTGGCAAAAAATAAGCTTGGCCAAACAAGCTATTAATATAGTTGATTTGGTTTGTTTTTTTGTCAAAACTAAACCATTCTAATATGCAAAAATATAGGGTCAATTGTAGCATACGGCATATTTATGCATCTTTCACGTTTCACATATTCGTCCGATAAAGGGTTAAGTACGCCGTACGCGCCGCCAAAATTCAAATCTCCCGGCAACATGGGCCGAATCGGCGACGGAAGATACCCACCGGCGGAGCAACCTTCTCGGTCTTCCGCTTCAAAGAGAAGTAGAACTAGTCAATTCGACGTCGGTCAACACCGTAGCAAAAAGAAGCAAAGAGGAACAATACGTCAAACTGAGACTGAAACTGAAACCCTAACCCTGAATCATACTTCCACTTCTTATACCCGTACATATGCAACTTCCTCCACTTTTTCGTACAATAGGCGCAAAGAAAAACGGCATAAAGGAAAATCAAAGAGGACGAGTGCAGAGGATAAGCGCAAGTGGGTTTATTCTACTCACGATGTTTCCCCATATCTAGGTTAGTTACGACTATGTAAGAAATTTCTTTTGTTACAATCCAAATATTTAATATTGTTTGTTTTCTTAATTTGGCAAGTGCATTGCCTTTTTTGTTTTGTCTGAATAGTCACCTTGGTTTTGCAGATAGAGTTGTTTTTATGTCGTATAATATACTAGGGGTAAAAAATGCAGCTAACCATGAGGATCTATACAACAATGTTGCTCCAAAGTATTTGGATTGGGACTACCGCAAGCGGCTTATTCGCAAGGAAATTAGAGAATATAATCCGGGTATAATGTGTTTCCAGGTAAGTTTTAATTTCAGAGTTTCTAACTTTCAGTATCTTTATTCATCAAAAAAGGAAGGGGG